TTTGTCTTGATTAAATATATTGATAATACGATGTTACATTGGACTAGAAGTTCAATATCAAATTTCAAGAAACTTGACAAATTATGTTAGCTATTGTGAGATGGTTGGAAGATAATGTTGATGATGATGTCATTGAGATTCTTGGGATCTTGTTCTACTCCTGTTTTCAAGTAGCAAAATGTACACCAACAGTACATATGATTTTCGTGATGATATATTTTTAAAGAGAATCACTGTTTGTCCAATCTAATGCAATGTAAGAACGACAATATTTTATCATTTACATATTTAACAAGTGATTGATTCCTTAGGTCAAAAAAAATCGTCCTTTGTTTATTGGAAAATAACTCATATGATACTTTTAAATGAATCAAATAACATCGTATTTCAAATGGCTGTCTCATCGGATTTATGTATCTCCCTGGACAAAAATAGTGACACTTGGTATTTCCAACATATCATCACTATAAATCAATATTTTGAGAGAAGTAATTATATATTCGGATAGCCCGTGGAATTCTCTACAATTCTATATATGTACATTTTGAATTGTACTTGTTTGATAAAAATAAATTGAAGCAAAGTAAAGGCACTCTCATCGTCAGATTCCCTGGAAATGTATTTTTTACTCCTTTTTCATTCATATTTTTAAGTTTATTTTGAATATAGAAACAAGTTACTACAAAAGTAAGTATATATTGTGAAAGCGTGTGAAATTCTCTATCATCCTGTACTTTTACCAGTCATAACTTGGACTTATGTGACAACAAATACTTCAAGTATTGTTAATTTACCCATGCATCATGTTATTAACAACTCAGATATTGTTGAAACTTTAGCTTATATCTTTGCGCAAAGTGGTTCATCACAGACCAAACACTCGTAGTAGCATTAAGATCAGGGCTGACAAGAGGATAATTATCCATACATCTTATTCGATTACTGGATAACCATTCATGGGTAGTTGTATGAGTTTATATGTAGTAATCGAGCGTGTTAGTGTCAGAGTGAGAATACATTAACAATACTTGAAGTATTTTTTATCAAATAATTCCAAGTTATGACTGGTAAAAGTACAGGATGATAGAGAATTTCACACGCTTTCACAATATATACTTACTTTTGTAATAACTTGTCCCTATATTCAAAATACACTTAAAAATATGAATGAAGAAAGAGAAAAAAAATACATTTCCGAGGAATCTGACGATGAGAGTGCTTTTACTTTGCTTCAATTTATTTTTAGCGAACAAGTACAATTCAAAATGTACATATATAGAATTGTAGAGAATTCCACAGGCTATCCGAATATATAATTAGTTCTCTCAAAATATTGATTTATAGTGATTATATGTTGGAAATACCGAGTGACACTATTTTTGTTCAGGGGGATGTATATATATATAAATGGAGCTCAAAAAACAATTCACAATATCTTTTTAGACAAGAATAAAAGAATTTCTATTTTTTTTTTCAATCAGTTATATAAAATCAAAAAAATGCTATGAATCGATGCATTCATATTTTCTTTCATTAAGTAGTTTTTATCCGGAATCTGTTTCAGGAGAGATTCAGGTAGTTCAAAAAGTATTTAGACATCTAACTATTTTTCATATAGTTGGATTTATAGAATAATGATAAGGAATAAATTTGCCTTTCTTTATGATGAAGCTAAACCTTGATTTTCATATGAAATACACTCTTATTACATAAAAACAAAACAAAAAATAAATGAAGAAGTAATATGTGCCCAGATACTTTTTGAACTACCTGCATATATTCTTAAAAAAAATAAAATGCCACTGATGAATGTCAATCAATGACAAATGCATTTCTAAGGGTGACATTCACTGCAGTTGATCTGTTGACCGACGCAGAATGCTAACACCATCTATTACAAATTATTTTAGACGTTTTTCACACTATGAAAACCAAGCAGTCTGATCGGTTTTTCTTCATGATCATACCAGTGAAAATTTCCTGAAATAGTTTTAATTAATTTCTATAGTGTGAATGAGATTAAAAAAATTCTCTTTGATATAATAAAGACGTATATCAAATATACTTTTTGTAAAAAGATTACTCTGTGTAGAATATTATCTTCATCAGACCAAAATAAACACAAAATCAATCTGAATGATCAACTATCTTTCGTCTCAATTTCTTTACGAACTTAATTTTTTGAATTATGAAGTTCTCGTCGAATGTGTTGATAAGGAAATATCCGTTTGGATTTGTATTGATTATTTCACACCATAGTTGAATAAATAACATTTAATATAACCTTTCTTTTCGAATATTGTTTCTTTGTCTGAAAGATAACAATCCTCTAAATCTATCTTGTAAAATACCTAATGATTTTTTTAAATCAATTTCTAGTAGATCGTTGATCCATCTTGACGAGTGAGAGTGTGAACGTTGAGTGTGGTTTAGTTGAGGATCTAGATCATCATAGCATGTTTCACTAAATTGCATGTATAATCTGACTTCTCACTTTGTAAAAACTGAAATTTTTTATATATGTCACATATACACAGACATCTGTATAGCTTTCCTGCTATTTTTTTTAATCATTCCAAGCAGGTTACAAATACTAACTTTTTATTGTCATTCGACGGCGAAGAAAGTATTATTACGTATATTTCTTCAGCTTTGCCACATTGGCTTAGTTTAGTTAGTAAGTAAAACCATCTTGTCATATGTGTAAAAGTCTCTGATCACATAGAGTTGAGTATCATTATTGCTAGTGGCTTACCAGAGAGAGCCTATGAGGATTGAACTCCTACAATAGAACTTTGAGCCCCTTTTCACTTGCCACTAATTGAAACAATGCAAGCTAAATCGTACCAATAATTTTTTTCGCCAGAAAGATTTCTATAACCTGAGGTCCTACCCCATTATCAAAATCCTTGTCACGCCACTAGCTATCACTGATCAGTTTTAATTTTATCTGTCAAAGACGATTGTTGTGGTAGATTTTGCGATTTGATCGATACGAAATATATAGTGCGCATAGAAAAGAACTAATCTAATCAATGAATTAGCAGTTATTGCAAAAAAAGATGCCTATCGTATTCGGATTTTTTTTTATTTTTCTTAATGTAGATAATTAAAATAATCCGATCCAGATTTTTTTAGAAAAAAATTTATACATTGATTCCAATACACCTTGTATTCTTCTCTGTTAGTCAAAATCTGTTTTGGAAGTAAATATTAACTACACGAAACAGTAAATGACGTCAAATAATCATGTTCAGCATATTGTTTTGAATAAAATTTGGCAATATTTAGATAACAATCATGTATAGAAAAAAAAAACATTTTAATAGTAATATCTATTTCTATGGCACATAGCATTCGAGTCAATATCGGATAGAAAAAACGTGGATGGAATACTATCCGATAGGCATTTGACAATGATATTCTCATTCCAATTGATCAACATTTTGCAGTCTAGAAATGCTGTCAACCAATTGTTCTCGACAAAACCTATTATAATAAAATCTCTAATATGTCTTCGTTTAAAATCTATGATCAATAATATTTCTTTCACGATATGGTTATATATAAAATATTTATATAGTCGATCGAAGTTTTAATCTAAGACTTCGTGTTTTTTGTCACAATAAAGCTTGTGTATACAGTATTTTTTGATTACATTCAAGAATAATTTGTTCGCGTGTTTCGTAATGAGATATATTAAGTCTGAAAATGTTTTTTGGTCATTGTTTAGTCAATTATTGATGCTGCTGTAATTTACTTTAAAACATGAAAAATAGAATTTATTTCACAAATTTTTTGTGTAAAATACATTTACTATTATTTGTTGGCTGTATTGCAAAAAAAAACATTTCTGTGGATTTCATTGATTTTGCTGTCTAGTTAAATAAATAGAAAATTTTCAATTGTACGAAGATAAAATAATCGAAACGAATATGTGTTTGTATGATGAAGCAATTTTCTCATAGTTGTTAATTTGTGTTGTTCCACATCGTCGTTTAGACGAACGATAGAAATAAATAGTTAGCCGAGATAAGATCGTATGTCTATTTATTTAGTATTAAATGTCTTTTTCTTTTCTTCTTATTCAAAGATTTCATCTTGTTAAATTGTCGGAAATATTGAAAGACATAAAGATTCTGTTAAAAACAGTCTAATGAATAAAAAAGAAACAAATGTTTTGTTTATTGTTATCAATAAACAAATAAATTTCGATAGATTGAATTATTATATATGAGTTATCCTTTTGCTTTTCATCGAATCTTCTGATAAATAAATAAAACATGTTCTACTTGACTTTTTCATCTATTCAAATTGAATTGTAGGACGTGAGAAATTTTCAAAAAAAAACTGACAAAGCAATCATGACAGTAACTTATTAAATTTACAATTACAATAGCATCGGAAAAAATTATTTTCATTTGATCTGTATAATCATATAAATATATTATCAATGATATGATAATATTTTAGGATTTTTTTACTAATGCATTTCTCTTTATTCTACATTGATATTCAATTCATGAGTTAGTTGAACAATAGAAAAATCTAATATATGCTTGGCTTTTATAATCGATTTAGTGCCCTGTGTGCACATGCATACATTCTATTTCGCTAAGGAAAAGACGTTCCTGCCAAGACAATCATCCGTTTTTTTATCGATGTTGTCGTGCCATCGACAAAGCGTTCTTTTGCCGACACACACAATAGGGAGAAAAAAAAGAGGGAGAGTGAGAAAGACAAGTAAGTCAAAGAAAAGAATAAATTATTTGTTAGGCATCGTAGTAGTAGTGTTCCCTCACATTTTCTTTTTCTTCTATATATATATATATATTCGAGCGTGCACATTCATGTTTTCTTTTGGTATTGCCACAGTCAACTTGTCGTTTCTTCAGTTAATATTCATTGTTTTGCGCATACTTTACGCGCTAGTATTCAATGTCTGTCAGTTTAATTTCACGTTATTATATTTATCATGTTGATTGGCTGTGATAAATATAATGTCAGGAGTAACAAAATCTATGCCAATGGCTTACAAGTAAGTTCTTAATTTTTTTATCATATAACTACCACAAGAGTATGATAAAAATTCATGAAAAACTTTATGAATCATAAAGAAAAAAAACTAATCATATTTGACATGATTTATATTATATCTTTCTATAAAAACATAAATAAATAAATATCATGATAATTATATCGAAGGAATATTACGAATATATATATGTATCATTGAACAAAACAAAAAAATCTTTTTATTATCATCATTATTTTCTTTGTGATGATAGGAAAAAAAGTAAAATATTGCTCTCTATATTACTAATGAGAAAAAATGTTGTTTCTGTTCTAGCTTATCATTTTTTATTGTTACTTGAAAGAATGCCTTGATTTAGAAACAGGAAAACAATTACAGATAGGATTGTTTTTATGTTACAACACTAGTTTTTCTTGACTAATACATATCTCACGCTATCATTCGATATATTTTGTCATTAACATAACAACAAATATAATAATAAAGAATTTATTATTATTGTTTATCTTGTTCTATTTCCTATGATTTTGCCGTTGTTATCACATCAACAAGGTCAATACATAAATCAGTTCTAGTTACTGATATATATACCATTCTTTTTTTTTTATTATTATCAATAATAAATAGAAATCTAACAATAAATATTTCTTATGCAAATCATTATTTATGTTATTCAATTATTCTTTTAAATTTAAATCAAAAAAGTAATCTATCGAGCTGTTCTCATGAGAGCCCATGAGATTCAAAATTTTCATACTCGAACTCTATCGGCTCCAGAATCAACCTGGCGAACTCCAGTTTTCATACGACTATTAAATTCTTAATGAAAAAAGAAAATTTTTTAAATAATCATATTTGATATAGAAATTTGGGACGTAATGGTTTACGAGTATCTCAATTAGGCCTTGGTACATGGGTAACATTTGGTGGACAAATATCAGATGATATTGCAGAAGAATTAGTTACTATTGCTTATGAAAATGGAATAAATCTATTTGATACAGCTGAAGTTTATGCAGCTGGAAAGTAAGATATTTCATTTTAAGAAATAAATATATTTCTTTGTTTCTTTTTTTTTTTTCTTAAATATAATTAGAGCAGAAACAACACTTGGAAAAATTTTAAAAAAGAAAAATTGGAAACGATCAACTTATATTGTATCAACGAAATTATATTGGGGTGGAAAGTAAATATTTGAAAATTAGATATTGTAGAAGAAATACAAAACAAAACGAAATATTCAATTTTTTCTAGAGCTGAAACTGAAAAAGGTCTTTCACGTAAACATATTATTGAAGGTTTAAAATCAAGTCTTGAACGTTTACAACTTGATTATGTTGATATTGTATTTGCTAATAAGCTCGATAGTTCGGCGCCAATGGAAGGTAAATAAATATAAAAGTTATTCAATATAGAAAAATTTTATTTTCTAAGAAATTGTTCGAGCATTTACACAGGTAATTAATAATAATCTTTGTTTTTATTGGGGTACATCAAGATGGTCACCAATGGAAATTATGGTAAGAAAAGAAAAACAAAAACGATATCCGTTTTTTTTTTTATTTGAATAAATATTATTTTATTATATAAAGGAAGCATATTCAATTGCTCGACAATTTAATTTAATTCCACCTATATGTGAACAAACAGAATATCATTTATTTCAACGTGAAAAAGTTGAAATATTTTTGCCAGATATTTTTAAAAAAATAGGTTTGATAAATAATAATTTTTTATTGAATACAAGAAAGACAAAAGCACAAATATTTTTTAGGTATTGGAACAATGACATGGTCACCATTAGCATGTGGATTATTGACTGGAAAATATGATGATGGAGTACCATTACATTCAAGAGCAGCACTTAAAGTAAAATAAAATCATACGAAATACTGAATTTATTTCTTTTTGGAAATGATAGGGTTATGGATGGTTAAAAGATAAAGTCTTAAATGACGAAGGTCGAAAACAACAAGATAAATTAAGAGAATTAACTATTTTAGCATCAAAATTTGATTGTACACTTGCTCAATTAGCTATTGGTGAGAATAAATATTTTCTTTAAAGAAAATAATTTTAAGAATTTTTCTATGATAAATATAAATTTTAGTATTAAGATTTATCATTTTGAAAAAGGAAAAATGATAGTTAAAAGATTATTTTCATATTCAAATTTTTCTTAATTGATAACTATTTTTTTTTTAGCATGGTGTTTAAAAAATGAAAATGTTCATTGTATATTACTTGGTGCATCATCTGCTGAACAATTATATGAAAATATAAATTCATTACATGTAAAAACAACAAAACATATATTTATTTTATTTTTAAACAACGGTTTCTTTTTCTTTTGTTTTATACATTCAGATTGTTTCAAAATTAACTCCATTAGTAATGACTGATATAGATCGAATCCTTGGTAATAAACCAAATGCTCATATTTCAACAAAAAATGAAACATCTCAACCACAACAACAACAAATTCAACGATAAATCTATTTAGTTATTTTTCTTCCGATCTGTTTCATTGAAAAAATTTTGATTTTTTAATTTTTCTTTTAATAATAGATCTTTCATACCAGCCTAGAAAGAGATAAATAAATAAATATTTGATAAAATTAAATTTTACCTTGGATTTATCAACTTTCGAACGTTTTGGTAATGTTAATGTTGGAGGTTCATGAACTATTTCACCAAATTTTGGTTTATCTAATTAAAGAAAGATTATTATACGATAATATTGAATATAAAATTTACCTTGAAATAATTTAAATTCATCATTTTTGATTTTTTTTTCTTCTTTTTTTAATTTATTTTCTTCTTTTTTAACTTGTAAACGTCTAAATTTAATGAGAAAATATAAAATTTTGATTTTCATAATTCAAGATTTTGTTTTTCTAATGCTTAGGAAAAGTCATTAGCATTCATATTTATAAATAACTGAAAAAGATCATCTTTGATCTGGTCATGTGTGGGATAAATATGGATATTTTTAAATTTATCTTCGAAAAATATTTTCATTTATATACTTTTTTGTATCCATCAAAAGAATGAACTTTGTCTCCAGTTCGTTTATCAGCTTCTCGCCAGTAAAAACAAATCTCAACATATGTCATCTATCGCTAAGGGCAACTTCTCTTAATTGATTTCTTTTTCTCACTGGTTTCATATGAAAGAGATACACACAGATAGCATAAAGAAGAAATCAAAGAAGAGAAGCAGCCCCTTAGGAACAGACAGGCATACATTAGATCCTATTTTTAATGTCGAGCGTTTTATAAACATATTGAAAATAAGACTAATTGTACGAGTTTGTACTCTAAATAGAATCTCTAAACTAAATTCAAAATAAGACATGTCATTAATTTTTTCATATTAAAGTAGGGTAATGGAACTATTTATTTTATCTAAATGAACTAAGGAGAGAACCTCGCTGAATTTTTTATTTCGATTTCAATGATAGTTTACATATAGGCATTATTAAGTATTCTAGTAGAAGCTCTAAAAGATTTTAATTCTTATTAAAAGTTCAGGAAGCTATTGAATTTATCTCAACACTATCTTCATATTGAAGTCTCATATATAGTAATGTGTATAAAGATTTTCAGAGTTCGGAAACTTCATATCTGCGAGATAGGTACTTATCAAAATGTTATTGAGTTATTCACTACGCTTCAAAATGCCCATTTTTGAAACTTTTTTTATCTCGGCAATACAAAGCTTTTAAACTTTGAGGTTCTACATAAAAGCTAACGTCTATGAAATTTTCAATCAAAGTAGTTTCAAAAGATCATTCGAAAAACACAATTTTCCCGAAAACCTAGAGTCCTACGAAGATCTTTAGCAAACAGTCACTTTTTATTATTCAATACTTTCGTTAAGCCTCAATAAGAGCTCAAATTCTTTTAGGGTTTGTACTAGAATACTTGGTAGTATCTATAGGTAAAAACATCACATTGATATTGGAGGAAACATCTGAGAACGTTCTAAAAATCTTAATGTATAGACAAAGACTTAAATACAGGATGTCCCATAAATAACACTCCGATAAGAAATTTTTACCAGTGATAGAGGCATATTCAAAGTTTATATCCATAAAGACATGCCTAGAGAGACCTTTTGCTAAGTATCACTATTGACCTCAACACAAAAATTTTACTTTTTCACAGATAGGACAAAAAACAATATACTTAACAAAGGGTTTTTCTAGGCATGTCTTTATAGATATAAACTTTGAATATGCCTCTATCACCGGTAAAAATTTGAGATCGTTTGGTCGACATCTAGTAGAGATATTTAAATTTCTTATCGGAGTGTTATTTCTGGAACATCCTGTAATTAAAACCAATGCAATAAACTCATATAAAATTGCCATAAATATTATCACGTTCATATACTTCGGATCAAGATGAAATACAAAAACCATAGGCTTCATGAGATAATACTGTATTCCATCTACTCATTCGACTAATTTTAATGCTCAGTAATATTTATTACTTTTATGATTTTAGTTTAACATACAAATACAATTTTCTTAACCTTAAATATGTTAAATTAAAAGAGTTTATGATTTATAATTTTATCTTAACTTACTTAAGTCTTTTTTCAGATCGTTGACTTTTTTCTTTTTTAACTTCAAATTGATGATCACCTTTTTCACTATTCACTAATTTAACATCATATTTTGATTCATATCGAGCACGATCTAAAGCAAATTTTACTTCCTAAAACATAACAATATATATTTATTTTCATTAATTATTTATTTTATGTTACATGATCTAATCTTTGTAAATAATTTCGATCAGATTCATTTGTTTTTTGTTCAAGTTCTGGATATTCATTATCTTCATTTGTATTTTGTTTAAATTTATTTTTCGTTTTTTTCTTAGATGATGTTTGAAGTTCTTCAGCATGTTGTTTATTATCAAGAAATTGTTGAAAACGATGAGAAATTTTATTATCAATTTTTTCACCTTTTTTTGGTGCTTGATTTGCACTTGCTAATTTTCTATACAACAAATTTATAATAAAAATTAATGTAAGAAAAAAAAAAACAACAACAATATACAAACTTATCAACAAGAAGTTTTCTTGGACCGGAATAAAATGGATCAATAGCTTTTAGTTTTTTATGTCGACGACCACCACGACGTTTTCGTATGAGTACCATCGTTTTTTTCAAATATCAAAAACTCTTGCTACAGATCGAAAATATATATCTATATATATATATATAAATTCCAAAGAGAGTTTATGATTGGAGTGTGTATTTGAATCAAAGAATAATATAAAGAAAGATGGCGTGACTTTTCGGAAACAGTTCGAGTCTACAAACAGAAATCAATAACAAGAAATGCACTATTAATGATTCGACTGATACGTTCAGGGGGTGCTCAGAAGGGAATAATTCTCTAATGTGTTCATCGAGTCGGTGCTGGATCCGACTCTGAAAGTTTTGGATCTGATAGGTCTATACGTTTAAGAAAGATGTAGGATGTCCTAACCATAGAATTCTCAAAAAACAGAATGAAACATATCGTATTTTCGGGGCGATTAACTAATAAACAGGGTCCTGGCACGAAAATTTTGGATCCGATGAGCTCTTACTCCTCAATCTTGAAAAATAATCTTTTTTCTCCAGCGGTGCTTCAGCATTGTATTGAACTTGTTGCTCATCGATTCGCCAAAAAACACTAGAATTGCCCTCAAAAGCGATTGACCCCGTAATCCTGGCGATCTTGCGACATTCTTAATAATAGCACTATTTTTCATTTTTCTATTGTTTAAGTTACGAATTATCGTTAGTTTTGTTGTCAAATTATTCTTACTTGTAGTAATATAGCGCCATCTTTTATTTTATTTAATCATTGTTAAAAACGAACAATCAAATCGATTTTTCTCGCTTTGTTTTTTTTCTCCTTTAACAAACTCGACTATAAATATTGTATGTTTGATCATAAGGACAATAATAATATCTTTGATTCATATAACGCCATTTATTTTTTTCTTTCTTCAGATTTGCATCAACTATAGAAAATGGGCAAACGTAAGTCAAAACGAAAACCACCACCAAAACAAAAACGACTTGAAGCTCTTACTCTTGCATTTCCATGCCCGTTTTGCTCACATGATCGTTCATGTGAAGTTAAAATGTAAGCAGCAATAATCGAGAATTTTTTATCAAATTAATAAATATGAACTATTTTTTTTTTTCTTCTTCTAGTGATCGAAAAGCAAATGTGGGTACAATTGATTGTCGGATGTGTCAAGAAACATATTCAACAGCAATTCATTGTAAATTTTTTTTTTCTGTTCTTCTTTCTATTCTATCATATATTTATAGATTTAAGTGAACCAATTGATGTATATAATTCATGGATTGATGCATGTGAAGAGCAAAATCGCGATTAATCTGTTTTTCTTTTTTCATAAGAATATTTTGCTTGTTTGCTTCTTTTTTTTTTTTATACAAAGAAATATAATGTTTTCTTTCGTAATTTGAGAAAAATATATAATATAACTGGTATATTGTTTTTACAGATTTGAAAATATTTGTAAAACAAAGAAAATGGGTCGTAAAAAAAGTAAACGACAACCACGAAAAACTATGAGACGAATACAAGTATTACCAACAGTTTTTGAATGTCCATTTTGTAATCATGAAAGTTCATGTGATGTAAAATTTGATCGAAGAAAACTACGTGCACAAATTTTATGTCGAATTTGTTCGGAAACATTTGAAACTGATGTGAATTGTAAGTATGAAAGAAAAGAAAATAATTTCAATAAGTTTTTCAATCTTGAAAATTAACATAATAAAAATTAGAAAATTTGATAGAGAAGTATTCTTCTCATGTATTTCATATTAATTGGAAGAGAAAGAAAAGCTTCATATAGAGTTCAAGGATCTTTACAAATACGACGATTCGATTCAATGAACAAATCAAAAGGCAACTTAGAAGATTTATTCTGACAGTAGACATTTGTTTTTGAAAATAAGTTTTGGATTTTGTTGAATGTTTTAATCCGGTGAATCTCAAAATTATTCGATACGGTTTTGTTTTCATTTTTTTTTGCCCTGTTATCAACTCGAATAAACAATCCAAGAGTGATTTTTGTAGAGAATTTTATTTCTAATATGAATTGTTCAATATGAAAAATTTTGTTCGAATTACCCAGAATGATAAAGTAAACAATTTTCTTCGAAATAAAAATGTCTTTTAACTTTCTAAATATATTTTTTGACTGAGATACATTGATCTTACGTAAGACATAAAAATTATTTTTTCTGCTATATCATATAGAGACATTGTTTTTTGTGCCTTCCGTAAAGTTGATATATCTGGGTCAAAGAATGTCATAGAAAGCTGGAAAGTGTTTCATTTGTAGAGTATTGTTTGCTCTATAACTCTGGATAATTCAAGAAGAATTCTATTTGCAGTATGAAGGGATCTTTCTCGAATAGAAACATATTCAGTAAAATCTTCTTATCTATGACTTGAAACAGACGCAAACACCTCTAAAAATATTCTTTACATGTTTTGAGTCAGTTCCTAATCTATAAATTATTTTTTTGTGGATAACCATATTTATTGAAGTAAGGCTTGGAACTAATAATTTAAGTTCATGGTAAATTTTAATTTAAGGATAATGAAGATTACTGGTGTTTCATAGGATCACATCTAACTTTGTCCGATTAGACTGAGATATTCTAGACTATATCTCTGAAATGACTTTAAATTTTTTTTTGAAATCTCGTTTTTGTTTTCTTTTTAGGAAAGAAATATGTCAAGGTTCATATTCCAAACTGGAATGTTGACGTTCAGGACTCGATGAATCCGAATGGGAAGGTTAAATACGAAAACAGTCAATTCCATCTTTGGAGAATACTTGGGAGTATTTGTAGTGAAGTTTTTAGTTCGATTGAACAAAGTGACAGGATTGGGGCTCTTAAGTAGTCCTATAGGAAGGCAGTATTTTTCAAAAAAAAAAATCCGACACCCTTGTTTAACATTTCTTTTCCTCGAACACATATCTCCTTATGTTAGATTCTCTATCTGTGGTAAAAATTTCAGGCAAATCGGTTGTACCCTCTTCGATAAGTAGAAATAACCAAAAAAAAAAAGGATGATATCTTTAAACGAGTTTCATCTACACTAATCAAACCTCAATATAAACAACTGACTTAAATAATACTGATTTAAAAAAAATTATTAATTTTCTTTCAGCTATAACATCCTATGGAATAATAAATATTACTCATGGAAATTGTATCAAACATTTTAGGATGAAGACAATATCTGTATGTAATGGTGATATGTTTTTAATTGGGTTTTTCATTACTAAAAGTTCTAATAATATGTGTCGTGCAAAAGGAACTTTTATTTATTTCTTCTAATAATTAACTAAGAAAACATTTGAATATAGTTTTCTGTCTATCATTTTCGTTTTAGATTTAAGTGAACCAATCGATGTATACAATGCGTGGATTGATGCATGTGAAGAAGCTAATAAAAATCAATCAATAATATCATAAACATTTCTCAGGATAATTTATAATCGTTTTTTTTTCTTTCATCAGTTATTATTTAACTTTTTTTTCTTCTTCAACAATCAATCGATCTTTCTTTCCATATGAGAACAATCAAACTGATATTTTCTTTTTGTTGTCCGGTGTTCATTTTTTTTTTCTCATTATTTGAACAGATATTTATTTCTTCCATATCATTTCAGTATTATGTAGTTCTTTTTTTTTTCTTCTTCTTTACGTTCAGATAGCTTCTATTCATTATTGTTATTAATGAAATAAAATAGAAAACAAAAATAAAATCAATTTAACATTCATTCCAACAAGCACATTTACTAGATAATGTTAAATTATAATGTTTATGTTCATATTCTCCATTAATAATAAGTTGATCAAGTTCTTGTGAACATACAAGATTAACAATTGTTTGACGATCATCTGTTGAATAAACAAGTGTTGCTTTTCCATCCATACTTATTGACCATGTTACAATAGAATTATAACCAAGAATAACAGACATTGATTCATCTTTGTATGCTAAAAATAAGAGACAATTTTTTTGTGTGATTTGGAAGAAAAATAATTATTATTTTGAAATCAAGAAAAAATATTTACTTTGACATATAGCTACATTAATACAAGTCGATTCTTCAGAAAACGCATAACATGGATTGTAACTGTAGATGATTAAGAATATTCAAAAATAAATGAATTAAATACTAAAATCTTACGAATAATAAAAATCATCTTTATGAATATATCGAAAAGCAGGTATCCCATGTTTCAAACCAACTTGAGATAAATTAATTCTACCAAATCTACCATCTTTATACGTACAATCATTTTTAGTTAGTTCATTAATAGAAGCATGTTGTGTAAGCTGAATATTAAGAAAAACAAAAAACAAGAAAAGGTTCATCATTATTTAGCATAAGAAAAAAAGAATAACATGATGCAGTTAGTTATATAGAAAAATCTTGAAGTGTTTAAGCAAACAATGAAAGACAAAAGATAACTGATGATGATAAGTATTTTTTGTTATTGTTGCTACTTTGTCTTTTGGTTCTTTCATTTTGTTTGAAAATAGATTTTTTTCATGATGATGTCTTGGTTAACAATATTACTGGTTTTGCTGTTTTATCATCGTTAATTATTGCTGATGATCCATGTCGATACCAGGATCCTAAAAAGGGCGTGCTTGATCTCACTTCTTTAGGTCGAACTGATGGAAAAGCTGCATATTCTGATATAATACCACCCACAGGATCTAACTATAGTATGTGAATTTTATCTTAATATGTATTATTTAATATTTATTAATTATAGAATATAGTTATAATCCATGTAAACCATTTACTGAAGAACCTACTTGTAAAGGAGTAGCTGTTTGTCAAGGTAAGTAATTCCATACAATTCATCTATTTTACTTTGTATTATATTTAGTTTCAATGGATGGAAAATTTAGTTTTTCACTTGGTGCACAAGATAGTGTAAAATGGAACCCAGGAGCTGGTTTAGGTAGCAGTCTTACGATATTGTATTCAGCTGGTGAGAAGAAAGTTACTGTTACATTACAATGTGTAACTGATGGTACCCATGAACTAGAAGCTTTAGGTGAACCTTCGCTAAACAACTATAAATTTATTTTATCACATAAATGTGCTTGTTGGGACGGGTGTGGAGGTAAAGTGAATTTTGAAGAATAACATTCGTTTTAATAATCTTCATTATAGGTGGACCATCACCAGACACAACAACAAAATCATCAGGAGGTAGTGGTAGCAGCGGCGGTATTTCTGGAGGAGCTGTATTCATCATACTTCTTGCTATTCTTATTTTTGTTTATTCTAGTGATTTTGTCATATAATGGAAAGATGAGAAATTTGACGTTGAATGTTTTTATCTGTTTTTGATGCTAGATTTGAGATAATTAGTTTTCTATAGCGAACGAAAAGAATAAAAACAATTAAGAGAGAAAAAAACGGCAATATTACCGAAATTAGTTGGCAAAAAAAATTGAGGTTTTGAAATGAAATAACTAGTTTGAAAGAGCATAAAATGGTATCGAAAAAAATAAATTTCCAGAAGTATTGAGCTATACTTTCTAATACTTCGACAGCCTTATTATTTTCACCCGCACTATCGGTCTGTCAGAAATCATGGTCTTTAGGTCATTTTTGTGTATGAAATGTTGAATCACAAAAAATTAAATGGAGCTAATAACAAGTAATTTCAATCAATAGAAGGAATTTTACTCTAAGAGATTTTATATTTCATGTATATCATGAAGTAACTTGAAAAAAGAAACAGTGTACTATAATATGTGAAATCGATGATGATTTAGTCTATTTGACATACTACTGTTTTTATCCTTCTTGCTTCTGTTATCAAGTCATGTTTTTTGTCAAGAACTTTTAATGAGAGGCGATAGTTTTGTAGGAATGTCAGAAGACGCATTTCGGGATAACAATATGTTGATATCTCAAGTATTAACACGACTCCAAAAAGTTTATGACAATGTTGTTCACTATACAGAGTGTTTTTTGGTATTTTCATGAAAATTTGCTTTCCCATTTTGAATAAGAAAGTTAATTATTGGTTGAAAAATTGAAATTGTTGAATCAAAGTTCTAGAACGTGTTCAGAAATATGATCAAAATATCATCTTCTCACTCCTTTTTTTGTGGATAATACCTATATAAAAGTGTTTCTTACTTTGCCTTTGTTTTTAGTTTTAATATCGAATTATTCACTGAAATGAAAGTTTTACATGTAAATTGGTATTAGATATATTTTTTATCATAATCCAAAGAGTTAGTAAGATGATGATGATTGGTAGCCGACCAAATTTTTTGATGCTATTGCACCAAATCTTTGAAAAATGGCATTTAATAATGATAAGATAAGTAGCTTAAAATCATCTTCATCAGCTTTTCGATTGTTTTAAGACAGACTTTTTATTCTATAATATTTCGAATAATATCCCAAACAATAATTTGTTGTGCATTACTCAATTACAGTTTTTGATTCCCAAATGACTAATCTGTTTGTAGATGATGTGGCTGAATAAATGCAATAAAATACGCTAAGTATTTCTGGATGTGTCATTGGATAGAATTGCGAGTGATCTATGCAACAACGCCTCTCTCTATAGTAGATAAAATGATATTAGTTTTTAAAACTATTCGTATTATTCATATGTTCTTAATTATCCTGAAAAGAAAACGTCTGAGCATGTATATCCATTAGTTTTCAATTTATCAATTATGTCACATTGGAATTTGGTTTTAGTTCGTGTATTTCTTTTTTTCATCAATCAAATCCTTCACACAAAACATTTATATTGTCAACACAAACTTAACGAAAGATTTCTTTTCTCTCACTCTAAGAAAAACCATATAAAAGTAACTATTCAGACTACAATAATTATCAATTGAAGACCATCGGTTCTGATAATCTGTGGAAGCAAGCAACTGCTTAAATTTTCTTTTTTTTTTATTGTCTCGTTGAGACTACTGAATGCAGTCATCTATCGTAATGAACATAATCGCTAAAGTGTAAAATAATCAAGAGTTGTCCAATACATAGGCAAAATATCTATGCTTTTGTGATATATTGAAGACGAACGGTTGAATATTTCTTTGTGTTGAAAACATTGACGCACAGTTGATAATTGTTTTTACGATGCTACAAAGTTAATAATGACTTTCGATGATTTCAATAAATATTTATTATTATAGAAATTGTTTAGCTTTAGGTATAATAACCAGCGAAAAGAAAAAGATGTTTGAGTTCATTCTCACAATCATTAAGTATTTCACTGAAATAAATATTTTCTTTATTAATAATCATCAAATCTGTTTTTCGAATCAAAAGAAATCAACTGAGAAATTACAAAGATCGAAACAAAAACAGGCTTTGCAACAATAATATAATGATTTTCTCAAGTTTTCCAAACAAAATGAAGTTAATCAGTTGCATTCTATCAAAAAATATAGATCGTAAAAAAATAAGAAAAAACAAATTACTGTAGATTGAGAGTTTTTTTCCATACGAAAATTTTTCAATTTACAAAAATTGATAGACCAATAACATAAGAAACAAATCAGTGAAATTAATATAACAGTAACAAAGATAATTTTTATTACTGAAGATAAGTAATAAAATATATAACGAAATTTTTGACATCAATACAATAAAGAAGATTAAAATTAAAATAAAAAATTATTTCAATAAACAAGTTCATGAAACGGAAAAAAAGATCAATAAACATTGAATTTAAAAAAGTTAGCAAACAGCCATTGATATTACATTTGATTTAAAAGATAAAACGTCATATATGATAATCATTTGATCAATAACTAAACATATACTGTCAATATTAAGTCATTTGAGAAATTTCCACTACTGTCTACTGATTACAGATCAATGTAGCTTGCAAAATCAATACAAAAGAAGTAATAATTATTATATTTAATTACATTATGAGAAAAGATACTTCTAGAATTTTATACAAAATATAAGTCAGAGAAAATTTAGTCGATCTACAATCACTTCAGTTTATAGTGATTTATATGCAAAAATTTTGATTAAACGAGTAAATCTAATTTAAAACTAAAAAAAAGGCATAGTAAGAAATATTTTAACTTGAGTATTTTTTCGATTTTTATCTTATTAAAACGAGAAAAAGTAAAAACATGATGTTTTAATCGTGTTATTAAAGACATTCTAGAACTTCGATTTAATAGTTTTAACTTTTCCCACAAATATGATCATGAACTTTTCGGAACTTTGTTAACTCTTTAAATATAAACATATTTGTAAGGGAAGATGCATCTTTTGGCACGCAACAAAATTATCAAAAATACATTGTGGGTCCTTGAAAAATGCCTAGATAGTGAAAGCAAGAAAAGTAAAAACAGTATGTCAAATAGACCAAACCATCATCAATTACACATGCTATAATGAATTGTTTCTTTTTTCGAAATATTTCATGACATATATGAGATATAACACTTCTTAGAGTGGAACTTCTTCTATTAATTGAAGCTACTTGTTAATATACCTCTATTCAATTTTTTGTGATAAAATATTTCTGACACAAAAAATGACCTAAAAACCCTGATTTTTTGATAGACCGGTATTACAGGTGAAAAGAATCCGTGTCGAAATATTACTCAAAAATTGTAAAAATCTGGATTTTTCGATAACATTTTATGATTTTTCAAACTAGCTAATTCATCTTAAAAATCAAAATTTTTACCAACTAGTTCCGATTCTTTTGCGATAGTAATTTCATGTGCACTCTTTTGAGTTGAATTTAAAAAAAAGCACAAAAATAAAAATACGCTTATCATTATTCAGTATAAGAAAAAAAGAATAACAACATGATGCAGTTAGTCATATAGAAAAATCTTGAAGTGTTTAAGCAAACAATAAAAGACAAAAGATAACTGATGATGATGAAGTTTTGTTATTGTTGCTACTTTGTCCTTTGATTATTTCATTTTGTTTGAAAGTAGATTCTTGTCATGATGATGTCTTGGTTAACAATATTTACTGGTTTTGCTGTTTTATCATCGTTAATTATTGCTGATGATCCATGTCGATACCAGGATACTAAAAAGGGCGTGCTTGATCTCACTTCTGTAGGTCGAACTGATGGAAAAGCTGCATATGCTGATAAAATACCACCCACAGGATCTAACTATAGTATGTGAATTTTATCTTAATATGTATTATTTAATATTTATTAATTATAGAATATAGTTATAATCCATGTAAACCATTTACGGAAGAACCTGCTTGTAAAGGAGTAGCTGTTTGTCAAGGTAAGTAATTCCATGCAATTCATCTATTTTACTTTGCTTTATATTTAGTTTCAATGGATGGAAAATTTAGTTTTTCACTTGGTACACAAGATAGTGTAATATGGAATCCAGGAGCTGGTTTAGGTAGCAGTCCTACTATATCGTATTCAGCTGGTGACAAGAAAGTTACTGTTACATTACAATGTGCAACTGATGGTACCAATGAACTAGAAGCTTTAGGTGAACCTACGACAAACAACTATAAATTTATTTTAACACACAAATGTGCTTGTTGGGACGGGTGTGGAAGTAAAGTGAATTTTGAAGAATAACATTCGTTTTAATAATCTTCATTATAGGTGGACCATCACCAGACACAACAACAAAATCATCAGGAGGTGGTGGTAGCAGCGGCGGTATTACTGGAGGAGCTGTATTTATCATAATTCTTTGTGTCCTTCTTGTTGTTTATTTTGTTGGATTTGCTGTCTTTTATCGTTTTCGTTTGGAACGAGCAGGTGTTGAACTAATTGCCCATCGAACATTTTGGGTTGGTTTACCTGGCTATGCAAAAGATGGTGTTGTTCATATATATCGACGAGTATTAAACAAAGGTGATACTCCATACCAATCAGTTTAAGATAAAGACTTCGATTTATTTTCACAAATTTTCTTTTTTTTCCGTGTTTTACTTTTCTTTCATGCTATATATTTTTTCTTAATAAATATCTTTTTCATGATAATTTACGAAGAAGTTCAAACGAAATACAACAATGAATTTCAGAATATCTCATGTGTTATTTCATTCATGAAAAAGAAGATAACTCCGGCAAAGTAACCTTAGAAAGAACCTTGTTCGATTTGATGATTTGTCTTAAACAAGGATATCATATATGCAATTTTGTAGAGCCATTTATGACACACTACAGGTGTTCTTCGATTTTCTATAAATAATAGTTTTTTCATCTTTGTTTTCTGCATACTTAAAAACTGTTCTCTTTTCTCAAATCGAGGTTATATCTTCATTACTTGATATTTCAGTATGTTCAACTTAGTGTCATAGAACAAGTGAGTGCAAATATAAAGTTTTCTCAAAAGCTGCACACTATCGAGGTCTATATGTTTCACATATAACATCTTTTGGAATGATGATATTTTAACAATATTCACCGGTTCCATTAATTTGTCATGTACAAATAATCAGCACAGCATTCAAGATGCACTGATATAAATAAATCTTTTGCAAATGGAAAGAAAAATTTTGATTTCTGCATGAAACGTTTGAATAATCTATAAATATCTCATGCTCATTCCAAAAATAAATCTTTTCACATCTCCGTGTCTCTTCCTCAAGGATCCAGAGACCAAATAATTTTGTTTTTCATTCATCAAGAAGTTATTTCTAGCAATGCATCAGGGATGCTGTACTTAGTAGGACGGTTAAATACTGTTAAAGTATTGTCAATACTATCGATTACTTCATATAGGAAAATAGCTATTCTAGGAAACTGTCTTGTGGGTTGATAATAAGTCACTGCTATTTCGAAAGATTCTATCTGTGTTTGAAAAAACTTCACATCGATATTCACTTATTCTGTAACACAAAGTTGAAAACACTGGAATATTAATTACCCAGGCAGACAGCGAAACGAATAAAACGGTGTTTAAACATTCCAATATGTAAACTATTTAAACAGTGTCATATGTCGCCAAAAACATGTTAAAACTGTTTATGGAAAAATAACTTTCAACATGTTTTACATGTTTAAACGCGTGGAATCATTGAAATTTTAACTGTTTTAACGTGCTTTTTGCGACTAATGACACTGTTTAAACAGTTGAAATAATTTCCATTATAACTTCTCTTAATGATCAACAAACGTTTCATCTAAACGATGAAGTGCCAACAATTTATAACTAAATTCTTTTCTCATTGATATACTGAACGATTATGTTCAAACTACTATTAGATTAATGTTAAATTGACATATGTTTATTCTTTGAAAACAGCGCGGAGAATTTCTCTCTCATTAGTTCGTTTCGTTTTATATTAAGGCTAAGTTTATATTTCACTATTTACTTTTTTGCATATTTTCCTTTTTTCTAATAGTGGAATGGAATGCCAAGACGTTAATGCTGTTCGATTAAACCCACATATTAATCTTCCGTTCCACTATTGAAAAAACAAGAAAAAAGGAAAATATGCAAATATGTAAATAGTAAAATCTAAACTTAGTCTTAATATAAAAGAAAACGACCTGTTGAGAGAGAAATTCTTAGCACTGTTTTCAAAGAATAAACATGTCAATTTTACATTAATCTAATGGTAATTTGAAGATAATCGGTCAGTTTATCAACGAGAAGAAAATTTAATTATTTGCACTAATGTTTCATATTTCAAATAAGTGACGGATAAGATAGACTAATGAATAGATTTAAACTACTACGGCTAACACAGGACTTGACGGGAAAAAAAAGCCAAACTACAGTTTATCTAACTAGCTTCTAATATATAGAAAACTACAACCGGAACTACTATGGTAGACAGATGCTCTTTTCGATTTTCATTATTAAACTTAACTGTATTTGGATAAAATTCTGAAGTATCGAAGTTCACAGATATGATATAACTAAAAGTGGCATCGATGCACTACCAAATCTCTTAATTGTGGTGTGCATTAAGTCGATTGGGAAATTGATTAAGCNACAAGTAGTTCAAAAACAATTAACAAAAATGATGCTTATACAAATTCCAATAATACTTTTTTCAACATTATCATATGTAATATTTACAGAATATTCAACATTTACTGCAACAATGGTTAAATCTACTGATCAAAAAGCTGTTGAACTTGTAATTAGAAATATTGTTTCAATTACATGTTATATAACATTTGCATGTCCATTTTTTGTTTTCTTTTCTACATCAAAAACGTTTAGAGAAGACGCAAAAATGTTATTTTTATGCCAAAAAATTAATTTATGGAGACCTAATCAAATTCAACCGTATTCCATAACTGTTCCGGGAAATATACAATATATATCAATGAGAACTCATCAAATGCCATCTTATTTCACCACTATGGTGAAGAATATAAAACCTATCACAACTAATGAAGAATGAACATTTGATATACTTTCAATATATTTTTATTCATTTGATGTTGTTTGCCCATACATTTTATATTAATCATATAAATCTTTTTTTGTAAAGAAACAAAATCATTGTTGTGTGTCTATCTGTTATATCACTTTATATTATAATCGAATAATTGTTCAATTCGAAAAATAATATAATAAATAAAGAGCTAAATACCATGTTTCATTTTTATCTCAAGTCTTTGAAAGACACCATCAAAATTAACGTAATATAACAAATGAATAGTGTGGTCCATATTCTTGATAAATAAAATCTTTCAAAAATAATTAGAAGTCAGAAGATTCATTTTGTATAATAATTACAAGTATAAATGTTCATACAATTCATAAAAATATTTTGATTATGAAAGAAACTTTTACACTTGAAAACATTGAAAAGATCATTATATGTTTCATCATTTGATAATATTCTTATCTATAAATCGATCTTTAGTTCAAGATCTTCAATGAATTTGATATATCAATATAGGTACTCTCACCCAAAGTGCTCAAAATCGTCAAGTCTTGGTATACATCATGGATCATCTTGTGTATTGAAGTCATCTGAATTTCTATGTTGTGAACCACAATACCCTAATTAAAGATATTATAACATCTGGCTAAATATTTTGTGAAAAAGCGCGAAAGAGTACTACATTGAATAATCATGTCTTTGCTTTTGAGTACATCTGTAATAAATCACTCGAATAAGTTCTTGTTAGATTACATGAAAAGTATTCATATACATACAACTATTCGAGTATTCGAGCGAGTTATTTAAGTATTGATGCTGGCAAGTCGTACTTGATGGATGAATATTTTATCTACAGGATAATCATTTACATAGCCGTCTAAGTTAAAATACTATTTATAGTGTACAGTCTTGCATGATTTTTAATACAAAAAAAATGTCATTTCAACTTCCGGTAATACTTTAACAAGCGATATGAAAAGATACAAAATAAAATTATTAATGGCATATCGGACTAACTCAATTTTATTCAAAATATAAGTATGGAAAAATTTTTAAAAACCAAACGTTCCGAAATGGCAAATAAACAAGTATTTTAACGCACTATTCGAATGCATCATCGTGAAAAACAAGCATCCCTATACAAATAACAGTAAAAAAAAATACTAAAAACGTAGAGGAGAATACTATCACTGCAATCATTGCGGAATTGAAATGTGAAACACGACGGAATGGCTGATATCGTAAAAGAAGAAATTCACCAACATATATTCCAGTTCACAAACAACTACTTACTGTCAATGTACATCGATGATGAAGGATGTCAACCGCAATGTATGACAGCAAATATGAAAGAAAAGTACAAGATAGCAATCTTAAATCAGTCGTGTTTCATACTAATCTCGCAGTAGACGTTGATCTCACTCACACGTTTGTTATAGTACGTGAGAAGGAAGTGGCAATAGTGTAAAGTATTTATCACAATCTGTGTCAGAGGAAAAGCAATACTATGGTGTCTGTGATGAGTCGTAATTGGTTCATTAATAAGACTGATATCACACTGTGAACTAAACCCATACTAATGTGTCTGTCATGATCTGCGGAAACGAACGTGGTTTAAATTTCTATCTCTATACTTCTACAACCCATTTATGTCGTCTTTAGTACCTGTTGAGTACAACATTTTCAAATTCGGTTAAACTATTTTTTGTTAATCTCAATGAAATTTTTTAAGCAGAATAGGATAGTCGATCCAATGATACGAGATATTATTTTTTCAGTTTTTTGTATTTGATAAACAGTGCATCTTACATATTTCCTAGGCGACTGAAGCTCGTTCAATCGAAATTTTTCAGACTCGAACCCAACCAGATTCATATTCGAAATCAACCCGGTAGACTCTAGTCATGTTTAACAAAAGATCGATTTTTCATACTTGCTAATGCGAAGTGTGCACACTGTACTCGCACTATCTTTCAATAAATATGTCAAAAACAATAAGTAAATATATAAAGTGATCGAAAACTACAACTGCTTTCAGAAAATGAAATTAGCTTTTTTTTTCATAGCAATGATATATTTTAAAAAGCTAATTACAACTGTTTCTGTCACACATATATGTATTGTACATAAAATGTTAGCTAGTAGTTAATTTAACTTCTGCTCCTATGGTTGGCAAGGTACATTCTCGTCTTTTTTTTCTTAATAATTCATAATGACTAGACACAAAACGTCGAGTAAATGGAATTAATTCGTCCCAATTTTCATCATTGATTAATCTATCCATATGTTGATTAACATAAAATTCATCAAGTGCATACATTTCATCAGGTTGAACATAATGAAAATCATTTGGTTCAGGTTCTTTATGAAATCTTTCACGTCCATTTTCTCTTAATGTAAATGCTGGTGCATGTGCCCAAAAACCAACGTGTTTTGTTAAACCAACACCTAATTGGTGAGCAAGACAAGCAAGTGCACAATCAGATGCTGCATCATTACGTGGCCAAACATTTTCAACATAATTTATTAAATGTGGTTGCATTATTTCAAGTAATTTCATACTAAAAAAAAAACCGGCACCACCTGATGGGAATTCAGCTGTGAATGTTGTTCCATTTGGTCCTGGACAACCAGCGTGCCCCCAGTGACCACCTACTCGAATTGGCATTTTGTAATCCAAACCATCAAGACGTTTAAGTAAATGATGAGGAAGAATAAATGTATCACAACCAGCTATATAAAACCATTTTTGTCGTTGACTTAAAGAAAGATTCATTTGTTGTTGATATATTATTTGAAGACCATAAAAAAGTTTTTTCATATTTGATAATTTATCTTCACCAGCACCAGCAGTAACAGTAACAGGTAGATAGGGATAAGGAGTTGCACTAAGAAAATAATAATTTGTTATACGTGAAAGCCATGTATCACGTGTTGCTGTTGCTCGTGTATGAAAAAATTTAGAAGATGTAAAAATAACAAATGCAACTTCTTCTTCAGTATATACTTTCGGCTTTGAATAATTACGTCGTGGAATAGGTACTATATCACAATATTTTTCTAAGGAATTTTTTCGATATACATCAAATGAATCATTTGGTGACGTTGTAGTTGAAACTGGAAATCGAGTAACATTTGTATTATCACAGATAAAATTTTCAAATGGTGAATGCATAGGTGGACGTTGAACAATAAGAGTGATATTTTTTTGAGAAACATTTAGTAGTGGTTCAACTGACATGGCTCGAGTCGACTTTAGAAGAAGTTGAGGTGTGATATTACGCGATGTATTAATGAAATATCCGGTTAGAAATGAAGCAAAAGTAAAGGTAAAGAAACAAACTATTAAAAAACAGTTTTTTTTCGATACTGGTTTAACTTCTTGTATCCCAATCATTCTATTAATAGATATAAGAAAATAATCTGGAAAAAAATAAATTGGTTAAATTTGCAGATAGTTATTAAAAGTAGAAAACAGGTGACAAAATGTCTTCTTAAGATTGATATACGATGAAGTAGTTTTTATCATGAACTCGATAAATACATCTAAAATCACGCCAACTCAGGCAGATCTTCATTCGAATGTATCTCATATAAAGACCATTCAGCTGGAGTTGAAATCAAGACAACAGGTTTGTCTAAGAGAATCTGTTTACAACAATACAGTGTCAGTTTCTAATAACTACGAATAGTAGTATCATAGATGAATTAAAACTGACATCGTCATTTGCATTACTTTCTCTTTCCCAATCTTGTATGTTCTCAGTCATGTGTCATTACTCTCTCTAAATGTTTAACTCTTCTTGTTTTTCATGTCCGATAAACTTCTTTTCTGTTCCTATCTCTCTTTCTCTTCATCATTCGAGGACAAGACACCTACGCTCATGACATTTCTACGCTTAACACCTATGCGCAACATGAATTCTTTTTTCTCTTCTGTTTATATTAAGTTAATCATTCTATCTCAGACTTCTATTAACTGTTCTGTTCCCATTTTATTGGATTAATGAAACTCATCAGTATGAACAAAAGAAAGGGGGGGGGGGGGGGGGGGGAGGTTTTTTTTTTAAATGTGAAATCAATCCTAGGGCGAGGACGGGTGGGGTGGGGGCGGGGTGTGGGCTTTGGAGGTTGGANAGAATGATTGGGATACAAGAAGTTAAACCAGTATCGAAAAAAAACTGTTTTTTAATAGTTTGTGTCTTTACCTTTACTTTTGCTTCATTTCTAACCGGATATTTCATTAATATGAGTCTAGATCTAAGACTTTGAGTGTGAGTACGGGTCGTGTGCTTGTGAGGTCTGATTTTAGGTAGTTTGAATGAAGGCCGATGTTGATGTGTCCATCGACTTTTAGGTGAACAGAAGACACTGATACATAACAATACCTACAGTTGTAGTACCCATGCTTACCTACACACCAAACTTAACATAATCACAACAGAAAACTCATTTTGTGTGTAATCGTCAATGCAGTAGTGTTCACGCGCGAAAAAGTTGGTCAATCCCATCACTTATATTGATATGTGCGTATGCAGAATGGATACAATAATTTACAGTATAAAGACAATAGTTATCAAAATAAGATCATCACTTCACGGATAGGAACACAATGTTGACGGTAGTTACAGATGCCACTGTTCATCTTCATACAGATCAACCATTCATCGATAACAAAAGTGAAACAGAGTGCCGATCTTACATACAGCTTTTCACTGGTCAACACATATGCGTATAGGATAACGGACAGGACGGTAAAGGCATGATAAAACTATTGTAATTTCACATTGGTTTCGATTTGCACTTGAGAATTTTGACAAACAATCTATAGATTCGAATTCTTGGATTTCGAAAGTTTTAATATATTTTTCTAAAATGCAGTCATTTTTCTTGAAATAAACTTCTTTCGATCGGAAAAATGGAAATTAAACAAAGATCAAAACAGTTACTTAACGCTGCATTCCTGATCGTGAGTATTGTGTCGTAATGTAGTTCGTCACAGCGTGCTAAAAGAAGCCGAAATTCCATTATTTGCCATCGGTATTGGTGATGTGCTATTATCTAATACAGCTATTTTAATCAAATAGAATTTTAATACATAATAAGCTGTGCAAAAGTCTTTGGAAAAATGTCAAACCATCTAAGACCATATTGTCGACTTCTGAACCAATCAAATTTTGTTTTGTTAGAAAGAGCAATATTTAAACCACAATTTTTGTAGCAGACATATTTTTTCCAGAACAAAGGTGAGAAGGAGAAAAAGCTAAAAATCAAATACCTGCAATTAAGTTTTTGCAACGCTTTTGCAATTTGAAAAGTCTGTTTTCCTCAATTATTTTAAGGTACATGGGTCAAATTTGAACAAAAAGATACTCCAAAATGTAGCGCATCAGAAACTCTATCAATATTAGCTTTGAGAAAAATATTTTGGATCTATTCTTGACTCTTTAATCAAAAAAGTTTGAAAGACAAAATTTTTGAAAAATGAGCCTATTGCAAGAACTATCATTTTACGAAAACATCAGCCACGATCTTCAAAAATCATGCATGAAGTGAATTCTTTTTGCATTATTTAGTTACAATATATCTACTCGTAGAATTTTAGCAAAAAAAATCATTCAAAAAATTATTTTTTATCATTGTAAGACGGTCGAGTAGTGAGAACGACCACATTAGTCAGTCTCGTTCACAAAAAGCTATTTATTGATGTAGAAACCAAGAATAAATTTAATTTTCAATACACCAATAGAATGAGCACTCTTTGTAATATAACAATCATCATTAAATGTTCTTTTCTTATTTCTCTTCTAATATAAAAAAACTAATAGTAAATAGAAAATGATGTTGCTCGATGATGAAGTTGAAAGAACTTTTCTAGATGTGTTTGGATTTTGGCTTTTCCTTCTTGTGAGATTCATTCTGGAAAAATATGTCTACTACAAAATTTATAGTTCAGATAATCCTCTTTCTAACAAAAAAAAAATACAAATTGTTTCAGAAGTCGGCAATATGATCTAACAAGGTTTGGCATTTTTCCAAAGACTTTTGCACTGCTTATTATAAATAAAATTTTCTATGAAGTATAAAAAAAATATTATTAACTAAATAAGATTATCTGTTATTCTATTAAAACAAAAGTAACTTGTGAATTATTTTTTTGTTCATAATTTTTTATAGAACAAATGTCTTACAGAATTTCTTACAATAGATTTCTCTTTCTTAGAACTATGTGATTGATTTCAGTAAATATGTGAAACGAATACTTTGTCTAACGCATATATGATTTTTTTTTCTTCAAATTGGTTCTCATTCAGTCAGCAGAAGAGTTTTCTTTTTTGTCTTTCAAATTATTCTCATGTACATTGAAAAAAAAATAAGAAAATTTCTCACTGTTATTAAAATATTTGGTTTGTATCCTTACAACAGCTAAGAAAAAAGAAAAGAAAAAAAAAAGAATCAATCTGTATTACGTCTAGATACGATTTGGTTATGTCAACAAGAAAAAAAGAATTTCTTGCTAAAGCACTAAGAAGCACATTATATTTCGAAACAAATCTCATTTAAAAACAGTTGTAGTTGATTACCTAGATAACTGACAGCTGGCATACGACGTCTTAGTAGGAAAATATGCAATGTCAGCCTTTTTCTTCTCAAAAACTGGTACAAGTTTTGTATCTGCCAATATATTCAGACAGATGACTTTTAAAAACAATATTTTACGTCATTTTGAATTTTTTGGCACATTTTTTTGTTTGTACTAAAAATGTTCAAAATTTGAATTCATAATTTCGTTTATTTAGAAAATTTTCAAAAAAAAACGCCCACTAGCCAAGAATAAACAAAAAAATCTCAAAATATCCGACTAATAAAACTATGCTTATGAAGGAATTTCAGATTTCATTTGCACTACATAGAATATTATTAGTTTTCATAGTATTATTACCGAGTTCACCATTTAAGAATCGCAACATTTCGACAAAAAAAAGAGAACAGAACTGTGTTGAAAAGCAAGCGAAGACTTACGATAAAAAAAAATGTCGTTGCCATTACAACAAATAGAAGAGAATATAAAACATGGATGCAATGATTATGTTTGATGTATAACTAATGGTTCCTTGCTTCCGTAATAAGAAAACACGAGTCAACGAAGAAGAAACTTATTACACTTAGTAAAAAACAACGATTCAATAAAAAGAAAAATCTGTCCAACTTAAATGTTCAATTGAGCAGTCATTGATGATTTTTTAACATTATCGTTAACTATAGTTAATTTCAAACGAGAAAATCGTGAAGTATTTTATGATTATCACAAAGAACTAGCTGAATTATCACGTTGTGATGGAATAATGAAAATATGTGTTAAGTCGAAACTTATTTGAAACAAATAATCTAATTAAAATATTCTTTTTTTTCATTAGTTTCTTTTACTAATATAGTCTAAAGCTGTATTTTAACTCTTCATGATGACATTTGTTCATGATAATGTCAAGAAAATTTTCTTGAAATCTTGGCCAGGATGTATTTCAGTTGACAGGAACCAGTTCTATTTTGATTATTATCTCATCCTTATGACTATAAGTAATATAAAGTATACAACTTCAATTAGATGAATGATTTTTCATAGTTGAAATTAATGGAAAAAAAAGCGTTTGCAAATAATGAGTTATTTTTCTTTTTCTTACGGTAAACAATGGAATATTTATTTGCCAAAAGAAAATGAACCTTATGTTTAGATTTTCATCCAAAACATGAGATTGAATGTAAGGTCAGAATAAAAATTTTATTGAAAGAAAAAAAAAACTAATCGTGTTCTTTTTTTTCTTCTAGCTACGATCACACATATTCATATAATGTAAATAGTCTTTTTTTATTGCATCAAGAATGAAATGAAAGAAAAAACAGGCTTACAAAAGTACTGTTATTGGCTCTTTTTAAACATTTTCTCTATTGAAGCCGAATGTCATATACTCATTTACTTGTTTCTATGCAAAAGAAATGTCATAATATCGCACTACTGTCTTCAAATGACTATATATCATACATATATTTTGAAGTCTCATTTTATTTACTGTTCTATACTCAAAATGTCATATCATAGATTATTCATTCAGAAATAGATTAAATCTCATGAAAAATTTCTTCTGATTTTGATATGAAAGACATATTTAATAAATAAACTTGTGTTAGTCTTTCTTTTATATTTTTTTCGACCGTCATTTGACTTTTTTTTTCTCGTTTTCA